CAACTAACACGGAAAATGTCAATGGGGCTCTTTCCTTCAGTTCCTTGTTAAAATGTTCGATTGAAAATTTCAACATATTTTCCTTGTTCGGGCTCCTTAGACAGCTTGGATTTTTCCTTGAGCAAAGATCAGAACATTCTCGGTTTATGTCATTTAACATTAACAGTTGGAGTTGTTTCTTGATGCTTGTGTTCTTCCATGCTGCGTTCGCTATCTGTTTGTATGTTCCTCGTACAAGCATTTTTCCTAGCGACTCTAGATCACCTGGCAACTTTCGTTCAGCATTTTTACTGGGCCACTCAACTTTCACATACACATTCGTAGATTTAGGGCCCTCTTCTGAGTTTTCTCTATGCTTAATTGGGGACACAGGCCATTGTGGAGGTATATTATCTGGACGTACAGGTGAACTGCAACGAGAACTGGAAGATGGCCGCTCTATCGTTTCTGTGCTTGTACTAGGCGAGCGTTCACCCTCATTTCCACAATGTATTTTAATACCAACACTGTCCAAACTGATATCACTTGTTCTTTTTAGCGAAGAGCTTGACGAACACGTTGATTTAGTTTGAATAGTGCGATAAAACTCGTCGATACACTCAATTTGTGTGATGAGGTTTCTTCGTTTCTTCAGCTTTTTAACACATCCAGCGCAGATAAAAGGACTCACTCTTTCTACTTTGAAAGAAAAACTTTCCAGTTCAGGAATTACTTTGAAAGCTCCTTTACCTTCGACACGATGCTTTTCATTAATTTTCACAATAACATTCAAACACAATATGCAAATGTCCGACATGTCATCTACATACTATTCTTTCATGCGCACATGTTGCATAATTATGAAATCACAATCTAAATAATTTTCCGCTGGCTCATCCGATGCATAATTTGCATATATTATAGAACACGTAACCTGGCACTAATGCACAGACGCTACTTAGCGCCCCCATTTCCGCCCACGAGCGTCTGTGACGCAGGCTAGCTGATATCAAGATAGGGAAGTGTGGAACTAGATTCAACTTCACTAGTGAAATTAATATTAGGATGCTGGCGATTTAAATAAGAGAGAAATTGAGGCATATGATCAGCAGACTGGAAAATCAAGAAACAGTCATCAACATAGCGCGGTACAATAATGGCTTAAAGTTGACAGGACAGTTATTTAGCTAGTTAGACTCGTTAGACAGGAATATATTGGCGAATAACGGACCTAAGGGTGACCTTACGAGACGAAACGTTAGCTTTCTAATAAATATTTTAAATTATATTTTTGTTATGGCTCTTTTACGTGTTTTATGCTGGGCATTAATATTTATCCTAAGATTACGATTTCCGCCTGCTTCATCTATCGCTAGTATCACTGTATTCTACTATTTGTTTATTTAGCTCTGAAAGTAAAGAAGAAAACGTGTGTGTGGGCGTCAAACCAGGAACAAGGGTAAAAAGTGTTTTCTAGTTGCAGTGAAAATAAAACAAATTCCGAAAATTGCATCTAGAAAAATCCACGATCAAGACTAATATTAATACAAATTGGAAAAAGTGTTATTTCGAATTAGTAGAAATTCTAGCGTAGCTTTTCAAGTCCCCGCGTTCTGATTGGTCAGAATTTTGTATCTGACGTCATTGTCACTGCACGCATGCTTTTAGTATTCATTTTGGGAGCGTGTTCGCTGTAGGCCAATTTTTGCACGCATCACAGTTCGAACAACTTTTACACGGCTGTTACGATCCATTCAAATGAATACTAGTCGTACAGTAGTAATAAAGTAAGGTAATATCAGGCCTCCTCGTCCCAGAATACTTGAAGAATGAGATGGTAATTAGTATTCTGAATATTAATGAATGACAAATTTTACAAGGCACTCGCTCGTTGCTCGCCTCAAGCCATGTACTGACCTTATAACCCTATCGAAAATGATCCCAATTCGAGCGAGACTTGAAGCGAGTCTGTATAGGCTTGTGATCACATCGCGTTCGGCAAATAATTGTGAACTATTTCATGGACATGTGATCCTTATGACTAAATATATAGTAACAAATTTTTGTGTAAGAGTGTTTTGGTTCCCAAAATGCTTGAGAGTGTTCATAAAGATAGAGCAATTGATCTATCTTCCCTTACCTCGAAGTTGGCAACTACAGCCTCTTTAATCATATTATATTGGCAACAGGCTGTAGTGTTAAATACAAAATCAAGCAAGTTATTCCCATTTCCTTTGTTTGCCGTCCGATGGTAGTAAATATTGATGATATTGGTTATTTTAGGTATCTTTTGATGTGAATGTAACAGCAACATCATGCAAACATGGAAACAAATCACAGTAAGATCTTTTACCAGGAGTTAATATTTGTACGATGAAGTCAACATATTTAGTTTTAGCGACAGTTGTTTTTGAAGTACAAATTAGAACCAGTTAAGAACTAACTCAGTCTTATACACACAGTGATGAAGCAACTGGAGTTGACAATGTTGAGGATTTACTTGAATTGTAGATAGACCATAGATAGATTGATTATCATTGATACTGGGGTGTCGAGAAAAAGAGGTCCGGGGCAGGAGGAGGTGAGGGGAAGGGTGTCCGTCCTCGAAACTTTTATGTCTTTGAAGCGGCATGTGGACCACTGTACATGTTTGGCGTCCGGTTAGCAGAAGGCAATCTGAATATGTTTTGTTACATTTATAGATTTGAGCTGAGTGCATCATCATTTGGTAGAGTGCAAGTTGATCTTGATATTATATGCAAATGTGATTGTGAAAGTTTTGGAGTAAGTGTTACTCAACGACAAATGTTTTTTACCATTTTACGAAGGAAAATGATTTCAATGTAAATTTCGAAGAATTGAATCAACACCAAAAGTGTCATTCTGCCGCAAAAAAGGTCAAAACAGTGACAGAATAACATTCTCCTTGAAATTTAAGTGTTGCGTCTGGGTCTAGCAATAAAACTGCATGCGGTTTATATTATACAAATAATCAATGTTTACGAGGCGACAGCCGAGTTGAATGGAACATTCCATCTTTCACCGAATGAAAATATTATTTCCATCTTTCACCGAATGAAAATATTCTTACCATAAAAACATTCATTATTTGTTTTGTATAATATCAAAATAGACTTGCTTTCTCAAGAACAGTTTATTAAAACACCATTTAATATTAAAATAAATACACACAAATATAACAGAAACTGAATGCTTCAAATCATTCAAAACACAAAGAGTGCAATGGAATAAAACGTATAGTACAACTGCACTGGAATGGGTGCGATGGAACGTGTTCATTGCACTCTTGGGAAATGGATTTTCTATTCAATATCACGTGACCATAAACAGCCAATTCAAACGATCAGAATTCAATAAGGTATTATATAACATTATATGTAGCATATGCACTGCATGAAACATTGCATTCTATCTACTTCCTATTTCTTGCTTGAATCTCTTCTGGAACGTTTTTCTAACGTGACGACGTTTGTCTTGGATGACGCCAATTCTGTATCAGAATCATCTTCAGAAATAAGGAATGTACAGGAGCAGGCCAGAGAACTGGCAGTCACGTGCATGCATCATTGAAATGTACGAGCTCGCATGTGCCTTTTGAACTTGTGTAGGCGCATTTCAGAATCTTTTAAAAAATTTGACATTTTAACAATATTCAGCTCTCAAAATCTAAAATACGATGCACTTTTACAGAATTTAGCTGGCAGGCGCTTAATAACATTAGTGAGCCCTGGTCGGTATATACTTCGTGTGACCCCTATTATAATTTATCAAGGCTAATCCCTAACTGATATGGACATTACGTATATAGAGCAAAATGAGCTCCAATTATTACGGTGCAAAACTGTGATACACTATAATAAGGGATCACATAAAGTATCTATCCCCTGGTCGTACGACTGCCTTGAACTCACCGTGGTCTTCGTAGTGCTGACTATGGTCAGAATTTTCGTCAAATTTTGAGCTACTATAAGTTGACAATAATCAAGACACAAGGAATATTTTAGAATTTCTGGGTTTGTCAGTTTTGTACATTAGCCTACGATCACTGATTACGACGAAATACATGCATGTACATGCAAACTTTATACTGCTAAAGCTGGTTTCCACGAAAATATATGAAATATTTCCGTGTTGTTCTGTTTTGAAGTTCCTGCGCGTGGGATACAGCAGCAGACTGGGCCGAATGTAGTCCATGCGCAAATTTTTAACCGTAATCTGTGTTCTGTAGTTGGCTATCTTAAAGTTCCTAATATAATTTACAACACTACCCGTCGCTATTCTCCTGTATTTGATGACTTTGTATTTCGATAAATTTTGAAAGTGGAAGTGTTTATATATATGCAATGCACGTAAGCGTTGACTCCATCATTTCCAGATCCCTGACAGTCCTACATGTAATGGCAATGGAAGCTTGGTGTGTGGTAACTGTGAGTGTGATGAAGGCTGGTTAGTATTAAATAATAATATTTCTGCTAGCTAAAAAGTTAAGATTGAAAATGGTAGGTAGCGACGATAACAAGGCAGCTGCCGATTGAGAGAGACTCGTACAACTACTTGAAAAATATTGGCGGAGCTTCGACATTTCGACCGAAGGCCCTTGGCCCTTGGTCAAAGAAAAGATTTGTCATGATGTAGTGTTTTGTTATTCTACATTTTGGCCGATATTTTTCCATCTTTCTTAATTGCATTATGATAAAATTGACAACAAAATTGCAAATCCTTACGCACTCCTCGAATGCCTATTTTTGTTGTAGTTTTCCGTATATTTGTATTAATATATTTTGTAGTGTGATTGACATTTTTTCACGTGATCGCTTTTATATTAATTAGTATAAAAGATTATATACTTTTCCCGATCCACGCTCGAAACGTCGAAGTTCTGCGTATATATTTTCGTATTATACATCTCTCTCAATCCACAGTTCACTTTAACTGTTGAACTGTATTTGGAACGAACAACATTTACAAAAAGCAAAACTACTGCTGAATTTGTGTCTATAGGTTTCCTGTTTTAAGACAGCTTGCACTTCAGTGTACAGTAGGCGTACTGTGCATGGGTTGGAATGGTTCATGGTTATTTGATGAACCTACTGTAGGTTCAATGGGTTTACTAACTGATCGGGCTGTGGGTATTCTTCACAAAGTTTTAATTATTTTCTATCCAGGAATGGGGGACCAATGATCCCATTGTGCTCCATTCCTGGTTATATCGAACAAAATACTTGGTTTGACCTAGAAAATAGACCCAATGTAGTAGTAGTAATTTTACTTTTACCAGACAAGTTTCAACCGGAGTGTTTTAGAGTGTGTTTCTCTCCGTAGGTCTGGTGAGTTTTGTCAATGCGATGCTCAACAATTTTCCGATATCACGACCGATAAATGCAAGAGTTCAAACGAAACTGGCGCTCTCATTTGTAGTGGAAATGGTGAATGTAAATGTGGTGTGTGCCGTTGTAAATTAGTTCCGGTAAGTTACAGGGAACAGTGCAACTTTGGTCCCAAGGTGTCCGTTGTATGGCTCCACTGTGTTTTTGTTGCAAAGCCTTTGATGCACATGCATGAAAAAGATGTAGTTGTTGCAACGTTCTCTACACTATGTAGTGTGATTATTATGATGGCCGTTCGCACTGTCATATTCAGTAAATTAATTTGTCTGTTTCATAACCAGCATTGAAAGCAGGTTCGTGCTGACAGACAGGACGTTTCGAACACTGACTTGTGTGACATGTTTTTAAAACCACAATCAGTTTCAAATGTCTTGGGACAGATGTCACAAAACCTTTGACTTTCAACGAACGTCAATCCACCCCCCCCCCACCCCCACCCCCGCCCCCTATTCAATGTTCTGTCCCATTTCTCGTCAGATTTGATGTGTTTTGGTTTAAGAAACATTGATTGGTGTGGGGGGACAGGGAGTGGAGCGGTATCGTGTGTAACAAACTGTAATGTTGAGGGAGAGTGGAGTATCTCGAAAGTACAGGTCATAGAATGCTCTGCGAACGAAGTATTTCAGCTCGATTTCGTTCACAGAAGATCTAATAAAACATTTTAAAACAATTAAATTTCATTGAAATTCTCAAAGTTGATAAGTAACAGAATACGAATATAATTTTTTATGTCGTATAGCTTTCTTAATCACAAAAGTCTTATACGTTGTTTGTTTCTAGAAATTTCGGCAGAGTACAAGTAGGTTATTTGAGAGGTTGTAGTCCGTCAATAAAGATAGGTATCGCAAATGTTTTACGCCAGATATGTCACACTTTCTGTTAATTATAAGCATAGTAATAGAACATCTGGTTACTTTCGCATGCGGGTAATGGCAATCTCGTACCCAGAGCAATGCCTGTGCGCGGGCTAGGATGGCATTGGCTCTGGGGAAATTGAATTTTTCCTGTGCTGTGATTGGTTTAACGTTTGTCAATCGTGCATGCCGACAAAGAACCGGAACCCCTAAATTTAGGGGTTCCGGTAGTCAATTTCCCCAGAGCCAATGCCATCCTAGCCCGCGCACAGGCATTGCTCTGGGTACGAGATTGGGGGTAATGGCTGAGTCAACTGCTAATTCGGGTACTCCGAAGGTAAAGAACGTTTATTTAATCGCTTATAGTCAATGTGACATTTTACATCTTCCTAGAGCAGAATTTGCAGATATAATTGTCGACGCAAAGCATTCGCGCTCCTGATGAAGGAGCACTCAGTGGGTATGAATTTCGGAGGCTCATGAAAAGGGCGGTAGTCATGCCCAGGCTCTGTTTGCCTGCGCCCGCTTGTGACTTCCTTATAACGAGGGAGGGAAGGAAAGATGCGACCAAAATAGCCTAGACTTATCCTTCTATTTTTCGCCTTTAAATGCATTTCTTTCAAGATTAATCGATATCCCCAGCAAGAATGATACCGTATAACTTTCAAGACAACAATGCTTTAATCAAAGAGCTTAAGCCCGTTCTCCACTAGGCGAATTTTTTCGCGCGACGCGAAACGAAAAATAAATTTAGCAATTTGATTGGCTAGCGAGATTTGATGACGTATTCCTCTCAGCGAAAACTGTCGCGCGGCGATCGCTCAGAAAAGTAGATAGATAAATAGATAGATCGTTTATTAAGAATTATAACCTTGATTTTACAGCAAAGAACTGAATTTAAAAAGGTTTTACATATAAAATGCTAGAACTACTGTGGTCATTATACCGTCCAGCGGCTGCAATTATAAAGGAGTTTTTGAAACGGTCCATTTTACATATAGGTATAGTGAAATTTCTTTTGTTCCTTAATTTGACGAAGAAATTACGCTCAGGTTATAAGGCAGAAGCCCATGATGTTTATCATTTGGGTTCATTACAATTTTGTTGAAAAATTCATCACAAAGATGACTACGATGATCGGAGAGTTTATGCAGTTTCGACATTACCAACGCTTCAGAATACGGTACATCGTAACCATATATGATATTCAATGCTCGTTTCTGAGTTCGTTCCAGCATAACGTTTAAAAACTCGGGGAGGTTAAAGTGGAACACTTGGCAAGAATATAGTAACAGTGAACGGATACATGTCACGTGGTCAGCAGGATCGTGGTCAGTAGGATCATGTTCAACTTTTTCGCTCGAACAGGGGGCGATGAAACGAATTGACCAATCAGCTTGCGCAAACAGAGAAGCAAAAATTTTTGAAGAAGCATAATTTTGACAAAACATGGAGAACGAAAGTTTGACAAGTGTATTGGAAAATTTAGACGTTGCAGCACTTGAACAGCTTTTGCAAGCTAGAAGAGCAAATTGCGATGAGAATGCGGAAACTCAAGGGAATGCCGACGTGTCGGTAGTGCCCCAACTAGAGTCTGTCGAGTTTGACAAGGAATTCTTTATTGAAGAAATAAGAACGCTGAGTTGTTTGTGGGATACATTAAGTAATCCGTCGTACAAGGACCGGACGGTTAAAGCAAACTCGTGGAAGAAATTGTCCCACATTTTTGAAAAAGACGGTAAGCCAATGAATTCTTACAGTAAACCGCACTTCCGTCCGATACGCCGATAACTCAAAACACATCAATATATGTTTTGGTGTCCATATTGTTTCGAAGTATGAACCAATTTATAAATGTATAACTATGAAAAAGATTGCTTAAAAGCGAACACAATTTTGTTATGTGAACCTTGAGGAATGTCCACTCAAGACTGATGCTGTGATGCATTGCCATTGGGTGTATTTTTATATTAAAGCTAAGTATTATTAAATTCATTGTTGTATTTAACTTGTATTTTATCATTCATTTACTGGCCCAGTACTGTTTACCCAGAGGCCAGAGCAATGTAAAATAACAACATAATATTTCAGTTAAAAAAACCTTAGTGGAATCATTAGAAGACTTTTAAATCTTTAAAAAGAGTCTTGTAAAAATTTAGTTAGAGCAACAATATAGTTTCATAAACATGCAAGTAATAGTTTCATAAACATGCAAGTGGTTTTTGTTTGTTTCCATATTTTTAGTTGAGTTTCTTCAAAGGTAATTAAAAAACCTAAAAGACAGCTTAAAGAAATGCCTGGATAAAAGGTCAAAGATGACTAGATCAGGGGCAGCCGCATCGTCTTTGTCAACATGCCGCTATTTTGAGCAAATGGCTTTCCTGCATCAGAGTGTTGGAAATAGGCCTACAGAAAGTAATTTAAGTGCTTTTGTTGCACCCATCTACAGTTTCATCACCATCTGAAGCAATAACAAGCCAGTGTACACAACCAGGAGATGCACCAAGAACACCAATACAACATTTACAATCTGGAGACAAGAGGCCAATAAATTCAAGTATGATGATGATGATCAACTTTATTTAAACACACTAATCTTTTCAACACACGCTGATTTCCAAAAGAGGTGTGCATATATATAAATTATTTACATTACAAATTAAATTAAAAATACAAATTATTGTTACTTTATATTGAAAATAATTAATTATTAAAATAAAGGTCGAAGAAGAAAGCTTTTCGCAAAACGAATCAAGGGATACCGATGTTCTTATCTCTTGGGGTATCTGATTCCATATTCGAGCCCCACTATAACTGAAACTTTTTTTAGGAATTCTGTCCTAGGTCTGGGAATAAAAAGGCCAGTGGAAGAACCCCTCAAATTGTAATTACTAATTGCATTCGAGTTTTGAAAAGTCTCGCAAAGTCTTTGAGGGGCTAATCCATTGACCGTTTTATACATGAGCCTGGCTTTCATTTGTGCCCTACGTTCTTGAAGCGATATCCAACCTAGACAATTACAAGCCAGAATAGACTGGCCATGTTCATTTCTAAAATTCATGCATGATCAGTCTAGCTGCTCTATTTTACAATTTTTGAAGACGATCGCTAAGGCCTTGGCGAAGTGTATCCCAAACTTCGCAGCAATAATCAAAATGAGGTTGGATTAAAGAATTATACACTGATACTAAAGTGTCTCGATTTACAAACTCCTTAAGTTTCCTTATTGCTCCAATTCCCGATGATATTTTACTCGCAATTAATTCAACATGATTTTCCCAATTTAAGTGCTGGTCGATATTTACCACTTTAGCATGTTTCACTCGTTTGATTGATTTGCCGTAAATTTTAACTCTAGTTTGGACATCCGTATCATTTAACTTGTACCGAGACCCAATCAAAATGTACTCAGTTTCAGCAATATTTATACTGAGTTTATTTGCAGACAGCCATTTTCGAACATTTATTAGGTCCTCGTTTGCCCTCTTCTGTACTTCATCTAATAATTCACCCACAGCTGTCAGGCTGGTATTGTCTGCAAACATTCTAGGTGCTGTGTGCTTGGGACAATTGGGCAAATCATGAATATAGACAGGGAACAAAAGAGGACCAAGTATACTTCCTTGTGGAATGCCACATGTTACCGTTCTCTCATCTGAAAGCATACCTTCTAACTGACATCTCTGTGTTCTGTGCGTCAGATAACAACGCAATAGAGAAAGTGCTTTTCTTTCAAAGCCGTACATTTGAAATTTGTGCAGGAGTCATGATTGACAGTATCGAATGCTTTCTTTAGATCGAGGAGGACAAACAGGTTGTAAAGGCCGCGGTCCATGTTGACATACCATTCATTTGTACTGTCAAATAGTGTAGTAGTAGTTGAATGGAAAGGTCTGAAACCAAATTGATGTTCAGATAGAATGTTCTCTTTCGAGAAATAGACAAAAATCAACCTGTTTCACAGGGTCTCACCTCCGCCACGCCCCCCAAACACCGGCTCCGGCGAGACCCTGTTCGGGTATGGTAACGTGACATCCCAGATTTTGGGATATAGCGTAATTTGTCGTTAGGGTGGGTACGTGGGGCAGAGTTATTAACTATAGTCATTTCTAAAAATAATAGAACTTGTCAATTTAGTTAATGATCGCATTTGGCAGTTTTCGAACTTCTATATTTGAAATAAAACCAATTACACTACGAAAATACGTTATATATGATATGGTTCGCGGCATTTAGACCAGTGATTAAAGCTACGTTTACACGCTGCGATTTGTCGGGCCGATTTTGGCAAATAATCGTTGCCCCTTCTTCGACATTTAGCGATTTAAATATTCAATTGAAGGCTGAAGCTGTCCGTTCTCTCGTCTGTTTATATTATAGTTTTCTGCGTGCGAAAAGTTTTCAACAACTTTACAACGGAAGAAAAATCGTTGAATCGTGAGAAAAATCTGTGCTTTGCTACAGATTTTTCTCCCGATTTTGTGAATCGCAAGGCGCTGACGCGAGTAGGCTACAGCGAGCAAAATCGGCCCGACAAATCGCAGCGTGTAAACGTACCTTTAGACTCTTGTTGTCGCGTCTGTTCTTGCTAAATATATGTGATCACTGATCGCAGTGATATTATTAATACATTGCGATTTTTAAAAACCATCCTTCGTATATATTAATATAGCACAGATCAAATGTATTTGTCAAAATAAAAAGGATACATTCAGTTAGTGTATTTGCTAATAATAAAGCTTATCAATCTACTATGAACTCTAACCTTTACATAAATTGAAAATATGCAGTGCTAACTGTACGTGTTTATATATAATATATACATAAATATATATATATATATATATATATATATATATATATATATATATATATATATATATATATATATATATATATATATATATATATATGTTTTTCGAAGTTGTATCTGGTCTAGTTAAAATATTTAAATTCCCTCAACAATTTCAAACCAAAAGAATGAACAAGAGCGTGTTATGAAAGATCTAGCACTCAACGGTTACTCAAGTAAATTTATTCAACAGACCTCTCAACCACTGAAACACCTAATAGACTAAACAACAACCCCTTAGGTTTTACATGCATTCCCTACATAAGAGGCGTATCCGAACAAACAAAACGAGTATTACGTAGCGCCGGTGTACGAACAGCATACAAACCTATGCCAAGTCTGGGTAACATATTTGGAAAAGCGAAAGACAAACAAGCAGACTCTGAAATAAAGGGTATTGTCTATAAGTTTGAGTGCCCAGATTGTCCTTTCACTTATATTGGTGAGAGTAAAAGATCGTGGAAGTCACGGTGGGCTGAGCACAAGCCAGATGTACGACCCGAAATAAAGTCTGGAGAATGCTAAGATCCTAGAGAATAGAGTGCAAAATACACACAAGAGGCTCTTCCTTGAATCTCTGCACTCAGTCACAGAGGATATACTACACAGAGGTGGAACTCAGCCAAAAAAGTGTAACCGGCCGCCAAAAGCTTAGCCAGTGCGCGAAAGAGAGGCATTCACCCCCCCGAACTCAAATTTCAAGATGGCGCCCGAGTGTTTCACTGAAAATAATCGGCACGAGAAACACTTGTTATTTTGCTCATAACAGTTTTCCTTTACTAAAGTTGTTATTAACATGTTTATATAATTCGTCCTTGAAAGATGTGTTGGTATGAGAAACCTTTGAAGATTATCTACCGATTTATATGGCACTGTTATTCATCGTAGGAGTGGAAAATTGAAATTCCGAAATTACCGAGAAATTAATACTCATGTGAGCCATGTCTAAAGGATTTAGAAGAAATGTAAATGGTATAATAACTTATGTGCAGCTGGATATCGTTGTATTTAATATTTTGTGAAATACTTAGGCAGAAATCAGTCAAGATTTCACTATTTGAAACTATAGCAG